GCTCTGTAATATTCTTATGCTCCCCCCCCCGTCCTTCTCACTGGCAGGTAACTGACTGTCAATCTTCGACAGTCTCCGCTGTTGACGGGGACTGTCGATCTGTTGACGACTGATGACGACCGTTGGTGACTATTGACGACCGTTGACGACTGTTGACGACCGTTGACGACAACTGATCTCCCACTTCGTTCCCCCTGAGAACCATGTAATCCACCCAAAACCTCCATCCATCGCCCGGCGATATCCGGTAACTGCCTCTCTAAGCCTCAAGCCATCGTTCAATTTTAGATTCCCAAGTCAGCTGTTGGAGACTTACGGGCTCCCTGGATTCGTGAAGGGGATAACTACGTCATAACAGCTTACTTCACCGATCCTGAAACCATCTGTAGTGGACCCAGGCCCGTAACACCTTACTTAGGAGACCAACTTTTGCTACAGACTGGAAACAAGATTTCTAACACCATGTCGATTCCTTTCAAGCAAGAGGATTTGGCTGGAACTAAGTGGGTGCGCGGGGGCTGTTTCCCTTCCATGGGCAAGTCGAAGTCATACCTATTTTATTACTTTCTTTATAAGTAACTTGTTTCCATGCTACTTCCTCATTGAAAATCATAGAGAAGTTTTGGTTAGTCAGGAAGAAGTTCATCAGCCTATAAACGTACAGATCCAAGACTCGGGAGGGTTGCCTATAGCATCAATTTTCCACGATATGTTCAATTTTTTTACGGGCTTGGAAATTTAGTGGTTTATCTTTAGTTTTCGATGATGCGAGAAAAATTATGTTTTACATTAAATTACCTTTTGACTAATTTTAACCAGTAACTGCTTTGCAAATTGACATCTGATTAAACCATCCAGTTTTGGGGTTTTTCAGGTCGTCATTACTGGTACAACATCTCACCGGATATGGACTGCCGAGACTTTTACCCGATGTTTCTGTTGTACAACAGGGATCGTCTGACCGGTTTTGGCTGGGTCGCCATTGGTAATGCTGACAGTCCACGGTACGAACATCCCCCCGCTAAAAGACTCGGGGTAAGTAGAGTCACAAGGACACAATGTGATGCCTCTTTATCTTTTTTACTTGGACATGTGCGTATATTTGGTGACCGTGTGTGCGTGCTTGCTCGTGTGCTTCTGGGATGTGTTTTTCTCAAATGCTTGTGACGTGAACACTCCTATGCATATAGCATGCTTTTTTCTAGAGTGTTGTGACCTGGGTGCTCTCATACGCTTGTGGCATACCTTTCCTCAAATGCCTGTGGCGTGCCTTGTAACATGCATTTCTCAAATGCTCTACGCTATATTAGAATCTGCACGCTTCGCATTATTGCGTGTTTCGATCAATGAATGGAAACGAAGTTTTGTGTTAAGCGAGTGAATCTTTGTTTGTTATCGAGACTAGCGGGAATCTTTCGAAAAGAATTTTTCTAGCTTTCTGAAATCCTTTTGCATTTGAAACTTTTGATCAAATTTATAAAGAAACTTTTGATCAAATTTATAAAGATGTGCATAGTAGTAAACACTCGAGGGCACAAAGCTACAACATCTTAAATCTTACTCGCTATTAGCGACAAGCAAACTCTTAGCAACAGTTCTTTTACGTTACTTCTAGGATCCACTGACACGAAATCAGTCAATGGAAAATAGTGGTCGATGGGATCAATTTAATTATTACTCTCGACTTTTTTTCTCTTTCCAGCTGGGATTCTTCCTATCAGCAACAAAGCCAAAATGCATAGCCAACCTTAAATCATTGACCACGCAACACGTCTATCTGGACAAGAGACCATACCTCAACTTCTGCTTTATTTAGATAACGCCGTTGCAGACACAACCTCTTTACTAGGAGCTCTCCTCTTTCCTTACCCTTAGGGCTTTCCCTGCCTCTGGAAGGGAGGGAAAGTGACCTGGAAAGACGGTCATTGCAAAGTTGACTTTTCTCTCTAACAAGGGGAAAATTTTAAAGGGAATTTTGAAGTTTCAGGGTGAAGTATAATGAATAAACAGATAAATAAAACATAATTATTAAAATCTCGTTTTGAAATGTGCTCCACAATAATTTTTAAAGTTGCGCAAAAGGTTGAGAGAAGGCAGAGGGAGAGTGATAGAAATAACTTTACTGGGAAAATAGTGCAAAGATCTTTTTGAACAATCTACTGTGCACGCTACTGTATAATAGTAATGAAAGATTCTTCTAGCAAATGTTAAAGAAGGGATTGGAATCCAGGTAAACATGCATCATCGACAGATGATCAGCGGTCCAAAAACAGGCTGGAATGGTATCTCTCTTGAACAAATACTACAGAGAGATAAAGAAAAAAGGGTGTCACGAATCGCACGAACGGTGTACCATGTTAGTGCTCCAAGCTGCCACCGTTTTGGAAGAAAAAAAACTTGGAGACTAAATTTGCAGCAAAAGTCACAAACCTCCTCTGAATACGAACAATGATAGAAAACGTAGGGAGAACATGAGAACTCAACACAAGAGTTAAATGGTTAATCATTACCAGTTGCCCTTTCAGAAATCTGAGGCCATTTTAATGGAATGTTAGAATTAAAATTCTAACATTCCACTACAAGCAAGAATGGATGATATATTTAATTTAGTTCTACCGCTTGCAAAAAAGTTTTCTCTTTTATTTTTTGTAAAATAACGCATTTATACCAAACTAACACATTCCCAAAAGTTTCCACTTAAAATCACGGCAATTTTCAACAACAACAGCAGCATGTACCTACCGGGAAAGATACATTTGTTGGATACACAAATCTTGGATTGTCAAGTTTAAAGGGCAAAATCCAACCAAACCCGTTCAGTACTCCGTTCGTGTACATCACAAATACAGGAAACAATGAATTGCAGTCAAACACGTTTAGCAGGTCATACCAGTACATTTTTCCTTGAAACACAACAACGAAGAAAGAAGATAAATTAAGCAAAAGTTGACGGCAACCATACAGGGCGTGAAATTAATTTTTTTTTCTGATAGCCACTTGGCTCCTAAATTCTTCAAAGTGGTAGCCAATTCAAAAAAAGTTGGTCGTCATTTTCAAAGACAAACAAAACCTTTTTTTACGCACGTTCTAGATAGACCCTCCAAAATTAAGTTAGGGGAAAGATCTTTAACGTGCTACAAATTGGACACTAGGATGGATGGTGTGCAACGTTCAAGCTCACCTAAATCCAAGATGGCGTATAGTTATCGATCGAGATGCATGTGCTGAGTTTTGGAAACAAACTTAACGAGGAAGTTTGCCGCGGATTTATCTCTTCAAATCTTTTAAATCCACCATATCTCTTCGTAAGGTTATGATGAAACATTCTAGTCGCCTATTTGGCGACTAATTTTCAGGATTTGGTCGCCAAAGTGAAAATTGAGTCGCATTGGCGCCTGTATTAGGCGCAATTTCACGCCATGCCATATCTCTCTTCCTACCCCTCTCTTCCCCCCCCCCCATTTTTTCATTAGGTCTTACAGCCAGTTCCCTATGTCCTCCCCTGTAATCATGGAATACAAATTTCAAACATCGCAAAGCCTCCATCTGATATCGTTTCCTAACACGTCAAATTACATACTACATGAAGTAAAAAAAACAAAAAACACATTACTCACTTACCCATCGACCAGAAGCACTCTCCCTTAGTCCACATTCCACCTAACAGACCACGCTCCAGCAAGGGGACCTGGACAAATCCGTTTGCCTTTGAACTTTTTTGGATCAAAAGTCTGTCACCAAAGTACTTGGCTTCAGAGTCATATCTATGCGAACAAATTAGACTTGGATCTTTGAAATAAGCGGTGACGACGTAGGAGTCGTTTTCTCGCTTCCATGGCGACCCCATTCGCTTACAGACAGTTGAAGTTGGAATCTTAAGGAAACGAGAAACAAGTAGAGGCTCATTTCTTTTATAAAAGACACCTAAAAGCAGCTTTAGGATCCCAGAAAACTTACTCCAGTTTGAATTCCAGCAATTTTATCGTTTGCATCAAATAGCAGCATCAACGTCAAGTCCCCATTGCGAATGTATCGACGACCTTGGAAATATGCTCTGGCTTAAAAAGAGAGAAATAGAGAAAGGTGTAAGTTGGCAGTAAGTCTTCATTTCAACCATAGAGTAAACTCGTCTCGGTAGAATGTTAAATGACGTGACCAAATAACGGATGCGAGGGAAGCACAAGAGATCACCGACAAACTTATTTTTCTTCCACACAAAAGAGAAAAAAAAAAAAGAGACAAAACTTGGGTAACTGCTAATTATATCAAAATAGCCCGCAGAGCTGGCGTTATTCTGGTGAGCGAATGCTCAGTATTTATTAGCGAAAATTATGGCCGCCATCTTTGATTTTAATGGCAGCGGAAGGTTGGGAGGGAGATAAATTTGTACCAAGGGGGTGAGCGACTGTCAAAATAAGGGGATGGGTGGGGGCGAGGGAGTGAACATCACATGACAAAACGTTAGTTTGAACTCGTCTCTCACAGGAAGAGAGACGTAGTCTATGAGGTACACATCTGTGAGGAGGGGCAAAGCTGAGGAAATAGCCATAAAATGGCATCATAGTTTGTAATTGAATACAGTAGAATAGAACAGAGAGGTCTATCACTAGTTTGGTCCAAGATGAATGATAACAATGATTGACTAATAAAACGACTTCGCTTTAAGTCGATAATGTTTGGATTTTATATCACCTTTAATTCTTCAACTTACCCTGGCATTTGTCACGCAAACTCCAGCCTTTTGCTACAGCATCGCTCACTGTCAGCGGAATCTCATCCCATTTCATCCACGTAACTTGAAAGCAGTATGTCAGTTCGTGGTTAGAACCGTACAATTAACTTGCTAAGCAGTATTTTAGCTTAGAATTTTTTTGCGTATTTTAGAAATTAATTCGAATCTATTGTTTAGGCATAAGCAATGTTGTTACGCATTGTTCACCTGTTTTCTTGATGTTATCGTAAATTATCCTAATCTTAGGTTATGCACATTTAGTTAAGCCAACCACGTAATTATAGAGATGTGTGCTCTTTGATTGGTCGATAAGTCAAAGTGTAATTGTGGCACAGAAGTAGTGCTAACTGACGAAGTAGCCGCTACGCGATTTGTGATGTTTCCACAATAGAACATTGTACGACAAAGTGGTTATATAATCGCCTGAGTAACAATAGTGAAAAACTAATTTATCCCCAGTAAAATACTGTCAAGTTGTCAATTGGCTTTCTCTTGGAGATTGGAGGCGGAATTGCCAAGTGGTTAATACGCTGAACTACGTATCAAAATGTCCATTGTTAAGCCCTAGCGGGGTCATTCTATGGCAAGACACTACACCCGGCCCCTCTCCTGCCAGGAGTATACATGGGTACCGGTGAGCTGTCAAGGAAACCTGACGAAATTCTGAGGGGGGTACCAATACAATGGTATGGCATCACGTCCAGGAGGAGAAGAAATATCATCAGAAATTTTTGTTTAAATCTCTCATCATCATTATTTCTTTCGTTTTTATGCAATTAACCGAAATAATATTTTTCCCCCTTGCTTCTATCGCAAAATTACATACCATACCTGAAAGCTTGTCCCACTCTGGAGTCACCGGATCTAAAGAGAAAAAAAAGGATAAAAAAATATATAAAATAATAAAACTAAACTCCTGAGCACATCAGTCATATTTCTATTTTTTATTTTCTTTGGAACAGCAGGAGAATGCGTATTGAAGTACTATTAACTGGTCTAGTTATCACTACATTATCGTAGCACTGTATTCAACAACGAGACAGGTACCCTGGTGATGGCCAGAGTACATTCTCTGGAGTTTCCTGTTCACATTTAATTGAAAGGAAATGCTCTCGGGAAAGTGGGATTTCAAACTGATAAACGTTTTGAAGATCATTTCCACAAGCGTTTTCCTGTCCACATTGAATTGAAAGGAAATACTTGTGGGAAATTAGGACTTGAAACTGCTAAACGTTTTAATTTTCTGCAAAATAGTAACAAAGTTTCGGTTGGCTTGCTAACTGATCTAGATTGACAAAATGATATGTACTTTCTCACTAAGTTTCATTTTGCAAGGTTCATGTTATGTTGGCATGCACTCTATCATCTTCCTTTAAGCGTTAAATAAAAACAAACAAGCAAAAACTGTCTAGTCTTACAAAAACATGAACTGTGCTTCTAGCAATAAGAGAGGGTCGTGATCAATGCAATAAAGTTCATTAATCAAAGGAAAAGCGAAATTTTAGAGAATATCATCTAATGTCTTAAGTTTTTTCTGAAGTGTTATCAATTTCCTTCATTTTCGGCGCGAAGGAGAGAGCAGTGAATAAAAGTTCAGTATAATTAAGGGATCGCCCCATTTAGTTTTTAGTAGCACGCCATCTTAAGAACAATTCCAGTAACTTAGCCCAACAATTTGATTAGTGTTTCAGGTTAACTTCCATATTCTTCCAATCTTTCGACGTACCGAGACCTCCTAAACGGGAAATTTTTCTAAGACTACATATCATCATATCCTTCTTTCGACTAATAACAGAATACATGAAACTAGTTCAGATAAAACGGTAGAATACATGGGTAATTCTCTTGCCTGCGTTCCTCGACCTATGCCAATAAGTTCGAGCGGACACGACCATCACACAGACGAAAAAAGCAATGCAGTTCCTCATTTTTCACTGAAGACAATCCAACGACCAGTTTGACTTAACGAGGCACTAAATGCTTCTATGTTATGAGAACAATTCACAACTCTTTTAAATACTGGTCTATGTGAGCGGAGTAAATAGGCGTCCCATCGTCATGCTCAATTGAAGGCAATGAATGAAGAATGACAAAAACACTTCAATACTCTACGGGGCAGGAAATTCAAACAGCGACCTTGGAGCAGATCTGTAGGATTTCTGCACGCTCACCGAAAAAGAGCAAAAAAAAACCAATGCTATATTAATGCTGAAGAATTCACTCTTCAGATCGACAATTTTTTTCACCTTATCACCACAGAATGAGCTAAAAAAGTATTAAATCTAGATCTATAAGAGCTAAATTGGATTTTCAGAAAGGTGAACTTAGATCATATTTCAGTTTGATTGCTGATTGAAAATTGTGTTCTCGTCTTACTTAATATTTAAGTAATAATAAAAGAAAACTGATAAAATTGAATTTTAATCCTTAAAAGAATAAAAACGTCGAATCGCAACAGTTGTATGACAATTCTTCAAACCGTCGTATATATTTCAAGTCTACAGTTTTTCCCATGTGGGTATGGTCGCATAAAGTTCTTGTTATGTTTTGACCTCTGGCTTAAATCGATTATTTATTATGAGAAATAAAGGTTTTTTTAAAGAGGCAGAGAGCCAACAATTTCATGTGGTTTCCCGTTCTGGGAAGCTTTGTTTCGCAAAGCTTTCCGGACGTTTCGATGACTCAATTCAAGAATATTTTGACCATCAAATTTAATTTTAAGATGTCTAACTGCAGAGAAATATTCCCCATTAATGACGAGTCCGATAAGGTTGGTGCAAAACAGTCAAAATTCAAGTTCTCATAAAATTCCTGCAGGGTGAACAGTTTGTCCTAAAATCTGACGAAGGGCTAACGCTCGAAACGAAAGCTCTAGAAACTCTTAACAGTGGCCAATTTACATTACTAACTCTGTTGATAAAACCAAATTATCTTGTCAAAAACAGAGTCAAGCTTAAGATATTGTGTTCTAGAATCTTTAAACAGGAAATGAGTAATAAATAGCTTTATGGTATGGTTATTAATCAAAGGGGGTCCAGCCATAACAAACAGCGAGCAATGGACTTTTCCAGTGACCCTGTTAGAGAAGATATCAAAATATATCGATCAAATCTGGCGACGATAGATTGATTAAAACAAAGCAAAATATAAAATACTTTGTTTAAATCCAAGAATAGGATTCTAGAGGGCAGAATGCTGTGAATCACAGCATGAAAATTTGGTAGTGAAGCATTTAAATTGAAATTACAAAATAAAACGTCATGATATATTCATTACCTGTTGACAAGACCCCCCCGAGAAAAAGGCTGAAACAAATATGCGAACTTTCAAAACACTTCCTGTGATGAGACTCTTATCGGAAAAAATCTCGATTTGTTCTTGATTGCGCGCCACATTCAGTATTGTAGAAATTTTTTCCGCGTATGGTAACGTTTACGGATACTTTCCGCTTGCTTCACACTATGCATTAATGTCGAAAATAGACATCTTATTAGCTATGTTTATATAAGCAAGCTTATTTTCCTTAACCGTAAAAACTCCTCTGCGAAGTCTGCTTCGTCAGAGGAAATGCATAGTAGAATAAAATACGTTTTTTATCATTTCAGTTCGAACAGTGCTGCTAACCAGTTTAGTATCATCATTGTACAGTGTGTCGTTTCCTTTCAGGAAGATTTTAAGGAAGTTTAAATCTCAAGTAAATAAAGTTTGCATATATTACGATAAGTCCGTCAAATTCAACAATCAAGATAAGAAAAAAAGGCCGTGAGGGCTATTACTAGTATAATTACTTATAGATTAGACGAGACTTCAAAAGAAGATAAGAACACCAGTGACAAGTTCGCCTACGCTTACGTGCTTGCATTTGCTTTTATACCACGTTCTGACGTCATCTCTAATTTGTAACTGAAACATCGCACAATAAAATGGAATCTACTGTTTCATAAAAAGTGAAAATGACGTCATACGCGTCACACGAGCGTGGGCTTAAAAGCTGCTCTCACTTCAGTCGTTCATCGATAGAATATAAATGAACGTGATTTCAACCTTGTTTTGTCTGCAGTGAGGATACTTTCATCTCCTTCCTACACTTCTGTTGAAAGTTTGTCAAGCACTTGAAAGTTTATTGCGGTCTTTCGAAACGGTCACTTAACCCTTTACCTCCCAAGATCTGATTGTTAATTCTCATCTCTAGCTGTTACACATTTCCTTGTGAATTGGTTATGAGAATTTAGTGTTCAATTACGATAATATCTCGTACCTGATATGTTTGAGTAATCCCACTACCTGTTAACTGGATAATGTATGATTACAATAGGGAGAAGTTACTTGTTAATCACTGCTAAGATCTCATCAGTAATTCTCCTTCCTGTCTGCTTACTATGATGTTAGTTCAGAGGATTTGGTATTGGATGAACCCTTTCCACCCTAACATCAGTATGCATATTCTCCTTACTGTTCCCTATACGTTCCCTAAAGCGCTGATGAGGAGAATTTGTTTCATAATCCAGAGTTTCTCTTATTGGTGACCATTTCCTTCGTTCTCGTTGCCTGAATGTTTGATTCAGGGGTGCTATTGTAAGGAGAAATTAGATGCACGTCATCCTTAAGGGTTAAAAGGTTACCTTATAATCCCGTCATTGGAATCTTCTTCATCCTCATCATTTGTCTGCTTGATATTATAACGAGAAATTCTGCCTTTGTCACTCATGGGAATTCAAATGGTTCAGTCCTTGTAGAGAGACATAGGACGGTTTACGGGCTGAATTCAATTTTTTCACCTTTGACAATTTGACCGTTTGATCAAGGCCAGTGAGGGTAACTCTTAATCAGAAATGTAAGATTTCCCTGGCCTGCCACTTCATTTGTTTACTTATTTATCCCAGTTGGGCTAAAAAGGTTAATGAAACATGCATAAGCTACAAATGGTGATTTCCCTGCCGTATGAGTCACACTGTGTTGGTAAACTGTTCTTAATATCGTGATATTTCAAGATAATTGAACACGATGGATATCTGGCTTTCAAATTAGAGAATATCCTGATCAGCCGCAATGACAACAGACACGAACACACACGCGCGCGCGGCACATTCCTCTCGTATATTTTAAAGTAATTTGCTTAAGCTAAAAGGTACCCCGCTATTTTTGATGCTCATTCAAAAATAATCCCTCTTCAGAATTAATTAAGAGTTATTAAATTTATCGCGTCCCAGAAAATTTTGAGGGCCTTGATTCTTACTCTAGATATTTCCTCGATGATATCATAATTTTTAAACGTTCCGCACTGTACATACATTGTTATATTCAACATGCTTAACGTAGCTCTTGGTGAGCGTCTTTCCGGTACATGATAAATGGAATGTTCTGAGTTGTTTACAAAAGCTTGATTTACAAATCAAAAACACTAATTGGATATGGTGTATTGAAAACATTTTAGTTTACCGGCGTAACAGCTAAATACTTTCCCAAACCTGTTAATTGCTTCTCGTCTCTTCGATGTAAACAATCGCCGCGATCGTTTTAGCATGCACGAAAGACAAAATCTACGAAAATCCGATTATGAATATGAAATCTGCAACCATACTAAATATTTCGTGAGTTACTCAGTTAATAAGGAATTTTTGTGAGACAAAAAAACTCAACTCACGCTCTTAGTAATGAATTGTTGTTTTGTTTTAAGCTTTAAATAATTCACAATTTGACAATATGGACAAAGCCAGCTTGCAATCCATTTAAAACTGGCGTGAATATGTCTCCGGTTCTTGATCTTAGTTGACATTCATGTACGCTCTTCTTAGGGAATTAGGAGGAATTTATATTCACAAGTTAGTTACATAACTCAAATAAAATCATTGAACAATGAACTT